TGAGGTTTGTTGAGGAGGTTAGAGAGTAGATTAGCAAAGTCCAAGAGGGAAATTACAGTGTGTTAGAGTGTGGGGGAAAATTCGTCTTATTTTTTCCCTACATGGGGTACAACACTGTGAAATTCAGTCTTCAACTGAAGGCCCTGCAGTTCTCCTAAAACATAGTTCTTTGTTTCTTTAACAAAGTTTAAGCTAGTGTTAATAAATTAAGAGAAATTGCTTGTCTGTCCAATTCAGCTTTGTTTTAAGCCCATTTGACATTGTTGTCTGTGTTGTAATTCATACTTTTGATACCATTTCTGATGTGTAAAATTGGTTGTCTTGTAAATATCTTATAAAGAGTTCAATTGTAAATAAACTATTGTGGCTGTTAATTTTTGAACTTCTGCTTCAATTTATTTTATTGGGAAGCATTAAATAATTCGGCTTGTAGATTTTTTTTTTTTAATCCTCACCCGAGGACATTTTTCCATTTTTTGTTCAGATAGAGTGGGAGGGAGAGAGAGAGAGAGAAACATCAACACGAAAGTGACACATCGAGTGGTTGCCACCTCCACAACCCAGCTAGGGCCAGGGATAAACTGCGACCGAGGTACGCACCCTTAGCGGGAACGAACCTGGGTCTCTCTGGACCGCAGGCTGATGCTCTAACCGCTGAACAAAACCGGCCAGGGCTGCTTGTAGATTTTAAAAGGAATTCTATTTCATAAAATAGAAAAAGACACCATTTTCCCTTACTTACATTTGTGTATGAGCACAAAGTATGTTTCATCCCTCTTTGTCCCAGATTCTTCCTTACACATAATTGGCAACTTTAAAACCAAGAGATTATAAGATAGCGCTGGCCGATTTGGCTCAGTGGTTAGAGCATTGGCCTGTGGTCCAGAGAGATCCGGGTTCAGTTTCCGCTAAGGGCGCGTACCTCGGTTGCAGTTTGCCCCGGCCCTGGTTGGGTCATGCGGGTGGCAGCCACTCGATGTGTCCCTTTCATGTCGATGTTTCTCTCTCTCTCTCTCCCTCCCACTCTGTTTGAACGAAAAAAGGAAAAATGTCCTCGGGTGAGGATTAGAAAAAAAGAGAGAGAGAGAGAGATTATAAGATAGAGTACTGGGTGCCTGGTGTCTAAATTAATAAAACCTCAAAGTTGAAAAGACCTTAGAGGTCATCTAGTCTGACCTCTAACACATGATTTTCCCTTGATAACATTCCAGACAAATGAAGTCCAGATTCTGCTCCAATACCTCGTTTTTTCTATACATTTTTTCCTGAATGTTAGAAAATTCTTTCTCATTGACAAAATCTAACTTCTTGTAACTCAAACCCATGGGTTCTTGCTTTGCCTTCCAGGATGATGAAAAAAAAAAATCAATTCCTTTACCTCACAGTCCCCTGATTAAAGATTACTGTGGCTATCCCAACTCTTCTCTTCATGGTAAACATTCAGAGATTACACTTGTTCCTCAAAAGAAAGGATTCTTTTTATTTTATTTTTAAATTTTCACTGAGGATATGTTTTTTATTGATTTCAGAGAAAGAGAAACACCCATGTGAGAGAGAAACACTGATCCTGTTGCTCCCCATAGAAGCCAGGATCGGAGATTGAACCTGCGACCTATATGCCCTGATTAGGAATCAAACTCGCAACCTTTTGGTGTATGGAACAACGCTCCAACCAGCTGAGCCACCCTGCCAGGGCAAGATTCTTGAGGACCCTGACCAGGTAGCTCAGAGCATCATCTTGACACACCACAGTTGCCAGGTTCCATCCCCTGTCAGGGCCCATACAAGAAACCAATGAATGCATAAATAAGTGGGACAAATTGATACTTCTCTCTCTCTCCCAAAATCAGCCAGTCAATCAATCAATAAAGGATTTTGAACTTTTCAGTTCCTTCTGGAAGAGTGAACAATCTGCTCATGTCCATTTAAAAATTGAACCCAGTGCTCGCTTCAGCAACACATATACTAAAATTTGAACGATAAAGAGAAGATTAGCATGGTCCCTGCGCAAGGATGACACACAAATTCATGAAGTGTTCCATATTTTTAGCTACATGCAAAAAAATAAAACTAGACCATCAACTTACACCATACACAAGAATAAACTCAACATGGATAAAAAACTTAAATGTGACTCATGAATCCATAAAAATCCTATAAGAAAATGTAGGCAACAAAATTTCAGACATCATACGCAGCAGAATTTTCACTGATACATCATCTAAGGCAACAGAAACAAAGGAGAAAATGAACACATGGGACTATATCAAACTCAAAAGCTTCTGCACAGCAAAAAAAACAACCACCAAAATGGAAAGGCAACCCACTCTATGGGAGAGCATAATTGCCAATGATACATCAGATAAGGGATTAATTTCCAATATATATAGAATGCTCAACAAAAGGAAGACAACCCAATTAAAAAATGGGGAGAGGAACTAAATAGACACCTCTCCAAACAGGACATACAAATGGCTAAGAGACATGAAGAAATGCTCAACATCACTAATCATCAGAGAGATGCAAATTAAAACAACAATGAGGTATCACCTCACACCTGTCAGAATGGTCACCATCAACAAATCATCAAACAAGTGTTGGAAAGGTTGTGGAGAAAAGGGGACTCTAGTACACTGCTGGTGGGAATGCAGACTGGTGCAGCCACTATGGAAAACAATATGGTGTTACCTCAAAACATTAAAAATTGAACTGCCATTTGACCCAGTGATCCCACTTCTAGGAATATACCCTAAGAAGCCTGAAACACCAATCGGAAAGAATATATGTACCCCCATGTTCGTAGCAGCACTATTTACAGTAGCTAAGATCTGGAAACAGCCCAAATGTCCATTAGGAGACGAATGGATAAAAAAGTGGTGGTACATATACACAATGGAGTACTACGCAGCTGTAAGAAAGAAAGATCTCTTATTCTTTGAGATGACATGGAGGAACCTGGAGAGTATTATTCTAAGCGAAACAAGCCAAGCAGAGAAAGACAAATATCACATGATCTCACTTATTTGTGGAATATAATGAACATAACAGTCTGAGGAACGGGGTAGTCCCAGAGATGTGGAAGTGGGGTACAGAATGACAATCCCCAGAAGAGGGGGTGGGGGAGAGATAAACCACAGAACTTATATGCATGTATGCATGAACAATGGACATGGACAACAAAGCTGAGGATAGGGCCAGGAGGGTGGGGAGGGGGATATCAGTTGGGGGGAAAAGGAGAAACCTCTGTAACAAAAATAATTAATTTAAAAAATCAATAAAAGCATTAAAAATTAAAAAAAGAAAATAAAAATTGAACCTAGACCAAACAACTGAAAGGCAAATGGGTCAACTACCATTTTTTTTTTATTTAGAAACTACACTTGGCAGCCTTATTTGCATCAATTTACCTTGTGATCAATAAGATCCTTAGGTCTTTTTTTCTTAAACATTAAATTACACATCCTCCATTTTTAACTAGGGCAGTTGGTTTTTGGAGCTGGATTTACAAGATAGATTTACAAGTTGTCACATTTGTCACTTGTTTAACCAGGTGAGATCTGTTTGGATCCTGGCTCTATCTCTGAAGGCATTCAGAATGTCTTCTAGTTTCATATTGCCTATAAACTTGATAAACATCAGGATCCTTAACCATATATAATCTGTAAAGATGTTACACACTACAGAATTCTGTGCTGTTGCCACAGTGACCTTTCTCTGATATACAGTATATATATATATATATTTATTATTATTAATGTGTACTCTTTTTAAAAAAATTTTTTTTTTTTTTATCCTCACCCGAGGACATTTCCTCATGTATCTTCAGATAGAGCGGGAGAGAGGGGGGGGGAAGGGGAGAGAGAGAAACATTGATGTGAGAGAGACACATGTAGTGGTTGCCACCCACACGACCCCAACTGTTACGGACAAATTGCAACCAAGGTACATGCCCTTAGTAGAACCGAACCCGGGACTCTCCGGTCTGCCAGTCGACGCTCTAACCACTGAGCAACCGGCCAGGGCATTAATGTGTACTCTTGTAGGTGCACGAATAACTTTGCTCAGACATCTTGTTTATCCTTATTATAGTCAAAAAAAAAAAAAAAAAATACAGGGAGAGGGAAAAGTAGGCTTACAGTTGTTTGGAAAATAATATAATAAATAATACAAAAATAAACTTTCAGGTACTCACAACTCTAAACCTACTTTTGTCCCATCCTGTATACTAATTTTTTTTCCATTGCTGACAAATGCCTTGCCCAAATCAAAGCATTTCTTCTGGTTAACAAGAAAATCATGTCACTATACTGAACCAAAGCCGGTTACTAATCATCTGGTCTTTTTAAATCAGTTCTAAAATCTTGGTAAGACTAATATCATACCAGCCTGCACTTTGGGAAAGGTGGTGGCTGGGGTGGAGAGACACATGAAGAAGGAAGAGGAAATGAGAACGCAGGTAAAATGCAGCAGTAAGTCCTGGGGCTTCACTACAGACAACATGGTTTTTCCTTCACCCTTAGCTTAAAGTGGGATGGTGTGGCAAATCTGATGATACAGCACAACTACTTTAGAGGTGTACCTTGATTCATGATTTTTACCAAACAAATGCAGTAAAACGACTTGCTTCAAACGTAGAGAAACGAGGCACTGAAATAGAAAACCATGAAACAGCTCCAATGCTGCAGTGAAGCTGTGACAGGTCGATGCCATCCACTCGGAAAGCCCAAGATGGCCGGGCGAGGAGCCGAAGGAGGCTGCCCAAACGCAGAACCCCTAGCCCGGAGCCTACCCCGGGGCAGTCAGGGGACGTGCCACGCCCCCTCACGTAACCGATTTACGTAATCCCGCTCGCCCGCAAACGTGCCGCAGCGCTCTAGGCCCGCCCCCCGCCCCCTGCTCCCGAAAAGCAGGGCGGTCAGTGCCTCACGAGAAGCATGCTGGGACTAGCTTTCTAGCCTCCCGTCAGGCCCTGCGACGGGTGTACGTAAGGAACTGGCTGGCGGCGGCCGTTCTCCGTAAGATGGCGGACCGGCGGCGGCAGCGCGCTTCGCAGGACACAGAAGACGAAGAGTCTGGTGCTTCCGGCTCAGACAGCGGCGGTTCCCCGGCGCGGGGTGGCGGGGGCTGCAGTGGTAGCACTGGAGGCGGCGGCAGCGGTTCTCTGCCTTCCCAGCGCGGAGGCCGAGCCGGGGCCCTTCATCTGCGGCGGATGGAGAGCGGGGGGGCCAAGAGCGCCGAGGAATCTGAATGTGTGAGTGTGTGCGGGTGGGGTGGGCCGGGGCGGGTGGCTTGTGGGCTCATGCGTGGCGTGTAGGTGAAGACGGGAGGCTGGGAGTTGGTGGTAGATGCTGAGGCATATCGTGTTGGAGTAGAGGACGGCTATCCCAGTGCGGTTTGCGTCCATGGAGCCCCAAGGAAACAGGAGAGGTTGGGGTTTTCTGGGAGGAGTGCAGAGCCGCTGTAGATGGACAGTGAATGTTTATTCAGAACCGAGCTGGAGGTGAAGAGACCGGACCTCCCTCAGATGCTACTTGTTAAAGATGTGCCATTCCTCATTTCCCTTTTTAACCATGTCGTTTTGAGTCTTCAGCTCTCCACCCTCTGGAAATCACAAAACTAACCATGACTTCTCCTTTCCTTCAGGAGAGCGAAGATGGCATCGAGGGTGATGGTGAGTAGCATCATGATGAAATATTTGCCCAAAAAACTCAGGTCACCTATTTCCAGCAGTTCACGTACTCTCAGATTGTTAGGGATCTGGGGAAGGGTGCTACAGAGTGGCTCTTTGTAACATAGTATAACGTTTTAGCAGTATGATGTTAGGCAAGTCATTCTTTGAACCTGTTTCCCATCTGTAAATGGGGACTCTAATTTTATTTACCTCATAGAATGCTTTCAGATTTAAATGATATTTAGCCTGACCCACAGCAAGCAATCAGGTAGTGTAATTATAATAATTTCTGTTACATTTTTATTCTTTACATATTTCTGTTTTTTTTTTTTTTTTTTTCCAGCTGTTCTCTCAGATTATGAAAGTGCTGAAGACTCAGAAGTGAGTGTGATAGGTGTTTTTTCCTTTGGTGTACGTTGGAAAATGCATTTTATTGTGTGTGTGTGTTTAATGTATTTTAAAAACATGTATATGCCTGTGGTTCAAAAGTACCATGACCTAATTGTTACTCTTGTGTATTCTTCATTTATGCTTTTGAAAAACTGTTACAAAAGGTCTTTAAATTTTTTTTTTAATTTATTGATTGATGTTAGAGTGAGAGATCCATTTGTTGTTTGGTTTATTTATGTGTTTATTGGTTGATTATTGTATGTGCTCAGACTGGGGATTGAACCCACAACCTTGGTGTATTGAGGTGATGCTGTAACCAACTGAGCTACCTGGCTAGGGCCCAAAGGTCTTGTTCATTTAGAGTGAGGGAAACTTGGTGCAAACCTTTTCAGGCCACATGTGTTACATTGTTAGTGGTTAGCTTTCACCCTATCTGAAGAAAATCAGGTTATAAATCAGAGAATGAAAACATCCTGAAACATCACAGGGCATATGATAGATCATTTTGTGCTACCTAGATAGTGAAGCCAGCCAATCAGGGCCAGGGACGAACTGTAACTGAGGTACATGCCCTTGACCAGAATCGAGCCTGCGACTCTTATCTGCGGGCCGACACTCTAACCATGAGCCTAACTGGTCAGGGCATATATAACAGAGTTTTAAACAAGAGTAATACATTTAGACTTAAAATTTAAAGCAGTATTTGTCAGATCCAAGGAACATCTGCATCATAAAATCTGTTTGCCCAGTCCTACTGAAACAGAATTTTGCAGAGGGAGGGAAGACTCAGACTTTCATTTATATATTAATAAGATCCCAGGTTGATGCTTATGCACAGGAACATTTGAGAATTACTATTTTTATAACAATTACTTTGTCTGCAGTGGGGGGAGTTGATCTGAGGGAAACAAGATTGGAGAAAGAAAAGATAGTTAAGAAAGCTATTGTTTGCCTGACCAGTGTGGCTCAGTGGTTAAGCATCTACCCATGTACCAGGAGGTTGCCAGTTCGATTCCTGGTAAGGGCACATGCCCAGGTTGTGGGCCAGATCCCCAGTGCGGGGCATGTAGGAGGTGGCCAGCCGATGTTCTCTCTCATCGATGTTTCTCTCTCCCTCCCCCCTCCTCTCTCTCTAAAATCAATTAAGAAAAAAAATATTTAAAGAAAGAAAGAAAGCAATTGTGGAAGTCTAGACAAGTAGTGAACGCGGCACAGAGTGTAATGGTGGCAGTGAAAATAGAAGTGGACAGAATTGAAAGTTATTTAGGTTGTGGAATTGACAGAATGTAGTGATTGATGAGATGATTTATTTTTCTCTCAAGTCCATGGTGAAGTTATCTGCAAAGATCAAAAGGGAGATGAGAGATTTTGAGGTGAGGGATGTTTGCAGTAGTTAGTAGAGAATGGGAACATTGGAAAGACTGCCAGGCAGTATGGGGTGTTCAGTGAGGTTTGGTGATTTTAAATTTATAGCAGCTCATTATTCTGTATGTAAGTGAGTTTGGGTGTTATCCTAACAGAAAGGAAAGGCTACTGAAGGATTAAGTGTGAAGGATGAATTGTGGATGAGGCAGGACTGGAGGCAGGGAGATCGGTAAGAGGTTGTTAGGATAACCCAAGGAACATAATGGTACATTGAAGAAGGAACATGGCTGTGTGACTGGCAGTATTTAGACAAATTGGAGAGATATTTAGGTGGTATTAATAGAACTTCTTGATTGGTTGAATGTGAAGTCTAAGTTAAGAAGGAGTCAGAGGGCCCTGGCCGGTTTCTGTCAGCGGTTAGAGCGTTGGCCCACAGACCAGAGTCCCGGGTTTCATTCCGGCCAAGGCCATGTATCTAGGTTGTGGTTTGTCCCTGGCCTTGGTCAGGGTCATGTGGGAGGCAACCAGTCAGTGTGTCCCTCTCATGTCGATATGTGTGTGTGTCTCCCCCCAACCCCAAGATAAATGTTAAAAATATCCTTGGGCCCTGACCGGTTTGGCTCAGTGGTTGGAGCATCGGCCTGCGGTCCGGAGAGACCCGGGTTCGGTTCCCGCTAGGGGCATGTGCCTCAGTTGCAGTTTGTCCCTGGCCCTGGTTGGTTGTGCGGGTGGCGACCACTCGATGTGTCCCTTTCACATCGATGTCTCTCTCTCTCTCTCTCTGTTCCTCTCTCTCCCTCCCACTCTACCTGAACAAAAAATGGAAAAATGTCCTCAGGTGAGGATGATTAAAAAATATATATATATCCTTGGGTGAGGATTAAAAAAAAAGGAGGCAGAGGGATAAACAGGTTGAGGAATGGTGGTATTCACTAAGAATGGAACCATAGGAGGAGGATATTTCAGAAAGGACAGTGGTGGGTTAAGTTTTGGATGTTTTGATATTGAGGAACCTATAGTAGCTACCAGACACTATTTAATTAAAACTTAAGTTCCTCAGTTTTAATAGCTACATTTTATGTACTTATTATCCACATATGATTAGTGGCTACTATATTGGACAGCATAGATTAAAAAAAAAAATTATCACAGAAAGCCCTATGGGAATGTGCTGGTCTAGATTACAGAAGAAGATTTGATATCCTGACTTCCACATTAATCTGTTACTTGCTTGCATTTTTTTTTTTTTTTTTATTGATTTTAGAGAGAGAGGAAGGGTGAGAGAGACAGAAACATCAGTGAGAGAATACATCAATTGGCTACCTCCTGCATGTCCCCCAGTAGGAATTTGGCCCACAACCTGGGCATGTACCCTGACCGGGAATGGAACCAGTGACCTCCTGGTGCATGGGTCAATGCTCAACCACTGAGCCATACCAGACTTGCTTGCATTTCTTCTTGGTTACTGACTATATACTTAGATGCTACAGTTTAGTCTTGCCTATTTTTTATTTTCTTCATTGATTTTTTAGAGAGAGAGGGAGAGAGAGATAGAAACATTGATGAGAGAGAACATCAATAGGCCGCCTCCTGCACGGCCTCCACTGGGGATCAGGCCCGCAACTTGGGCATGTGCCTGACTGGGAATCAAACCGGCGACCTCTTGGTGCATGGGTCGACACTCAACCAATGAGCCACATTGGCCTGTTTTTTAAAATGTGTTTTTATTTTATTTATTTGTTTTGTTAATATGTTTTCATTGATTTTTTTTTAGAGAGAGCGATAGAAACCGATGTGAGAGAGAAATATCCATCAGCTGCCTCCTGCATGCCCGGGAATCGAACTGGAAACCCGGGCATGTGCCCTGACTGAGAATCAAACCAGGACCTCTGAGTTGGTGGGATGATGTTCAATCCACTGAGCCACACCGGCCAGGCTATTTTTATTTATTTTAAATCCTCACCTGAAGATATTTTTTTCATTGATTTTTTAGAGAGAGTGGAAGGGCGTGGGAGAGGTAGGGAGGGGGGAGAGAGAGAGATGAGAGAGAGACACACACATAACACACACAACAATTGGTTGCCTCCCACACATGCTTACACTTGGGACTAGAGAATGAACCTGCAACCCAGGTATGTGCCCTTGACTAGGAATCGTACCCAAAACCCTTGGGGGGAGGGCAGGATACTGAGCAACTTTGGCCAGGGTTGTTTTTATTGATTTTAGAAAGAGAGGAAGGGAGAGAGATATATTCAGGATATTTTCTTAGAGGTTCAGTAATTCTATTAGAATTTTCTTGGTATTGTTCATTCATTCTGAGTCAGTGTTCACAGATATGAGATGTGCTGTTCTGCAGTATGTTATGGAACTCCTATTCTTTGCCTAACTTCAGTATTTAACCCTTTCTTTCTAATCCTTTTTATCTTCTTCTTTTCTTATCTATTGTTAATCCTCACCTGAGGATATTTTTCTATTGATTTTTTTTCTTTTATCTTTATTGTTGAATGTATTACAGATGTTCCTCATTTTTCCCCCATTGACCCCTCCTCTCCACTCCCACCCCCCTCCTGCCTTTTCCCATATTGTTGTCTGTGTCCATTGGTTATGCATATAAGTTCTCTGGTTTATTTCTTCCCACCCCTCAACCCCCTTCTCTTTGAGATTTGTCAGTCTAGCAACCAATGTGTTCTTAATCCCTTCACCTTTTTCACCCATCTCCCCAACCCCCCTCCCATTTGGCAACCAACAAAATGTTCTCTGTATCTATGAGAATGTTTCTGTTCTGCCTGTACATTTTGTTTGTAGATTCCATTGTCGATAGATATGTATTCATTGCCATTTTGTTCATATATTTTATCTTTTTCTTCAAAAAGACCCTTCAACATTTCATATAATAACGGTTTGGTGGTGATGAACTCCTTTAACTTTTTCTTGTCTGGGAAACTCTTCATATGGCCATCAATTCTAAATGACAGCTTTGCAGGATAGAGTAATCTTGGTTGTAGGTTCTTGCTTTTCATCACTCTGAATATTTCTTGCCACTCTCTTCTGGTCTGCAAGGTTTCTTTTGAGAAACCAGCTGACAGTCTTATGGGAACTCCCTTGTAGGTAACTAACTTTTCTCTTGCTGCTTTTAAGATTCTCTCTTTGTCTTGAACCTATTGCATTTTGATGATGATGTGTCTTGGTGTGGGCCTCTTGGGGTTCATCTTGTTTGGGACTCTCTGTGCTTCCTGGACTTGTATGTCTGTTTCCTTCACCAAGTTAGGGAAATTTTCTGCCATTATTGTTTCAAATAGGTTTTCGATTTCTTGCTCTCTCTCTTCTCCTGGCACCCCCAAGATGCAAATGTTGACACGCTTGAAGTTGTCCCAGAGGCTCCTTACACTATCCTCATTTTTTTAAATTCTTTTTTCTTTTTGCTGTTCTGATTGGGTGTTTTTTGCTTCCTTGTATTCCAAATCAATGGTTTGCTTCTTGGCTTTACCTACTCTACTATTGAATCTGTGTAAATTATTCTTTATTTCAGTTAGTGCCTCCTTCATTTCTGACTGTGCATCCTTCATTTCTGACTGGTTCTTTTTTATGCTCTTGAGGCCCTCACTAAGTTCGCAGAGGTTCTCACT